TGGATACATTTGCTGAAATCTATACAACAAAATTATTCGATCGTGTAAGACGTATTAATGCTAAATTTCAAGAAAAAATTATTCCATTTGATATTGATGTATTAATATCGTCAACAACAATAACAAATAATGAAATAGATTTGAATGAGCAACAACAATCAAAATTAATATCTTGGAAAAATTTACAAAATAGTATTGATTTATGTTTTTATATTGCAAATAATTCCGTAGATTTTGAAGAACAAAATCTTAAAGATATGATTCAAACCAATGTTATGGACTTAAAAAGTATTTTAACTTTTTTAAAAACATGTACACAATTAAAATCAATCGTTTACTTGTCATCTATTTATGCGAATATAGGTAAATATTCTTCTTTGATATCGATGCAAAATGTTATAAAAATACAGAATGATCCATAAGGACCTTGACAAAAAAAATTGAATATTTTCGCTCTGTTTCACTGTATGAGATGAATTTGTTGTCCATGATAAAGAAGAATCTAGAGTTTTTTCGACAAAAATAACATTTATAAATATTGTTTTGAAGTACTATCATTAATTTCAATAATGACTTTCTATTTTTTATAATGTTGAAGATGCTCTTAATATTCGTTCATGTGTTTCATTATGTACAACGTAATTGTTTTATTTTTCTCTTGCTAACGATACAAATATTTGTGTTTCTTAGGTGCAATAAACTGGAAGCAAGAGTTACTTGGATTAGTCTTGTTAGTGCTCGTTTTTATAGAGGCATCGAAATTTTAGATTCATGTCATGATCTGTAAGGTCAAAAAGTTATTACAGAAAAAAAAATCTGAAGTCTTCTCTATCATGGAATATAAAATTAACTCCATAACATAGACAGGATTGATTTGGTTTAAATTTAAAAAAACCTAAAACAATCCATTCTCTGCCTCGTAGAAGGCGATAGAACGGGAATATTCAAATTTTTTATCTTACAGATAATTATGGATAGAGCTCGTCAGGTTCAATATTTTCAGACCCGATTTATTGCACATTTTTAGAAACCGGATCCGGACGCGGTCGACACGTACTTCTATACTCTCGATGAAATTTTATTATCGGCAGTGGATAGTTGCCCCGAAGATACGAGATACTTTTTTCCGGTTTTTTGTATTCAGTTACTAGCGCATTGTATAGATTATCTCAAACGACTAGAATCTCTCGAATTCAAAAATTTCAGATCTGGATCCAGAACCAATCGAATAGATTCTACTTGCGGACTATCCTGCAGAACTCATTGAATATATAAATTATCCGAAAACGAAAATTTCTCAGAAATATGTTTGAAAAACTCATATACGTGTTTTTTTTAATACTATAAAACAATATTTTATTTAGATTGTCCATTTATTGATGAATGTGTATATCCATGTCCAATTGAACCACAAAAATTAGTCGATGCTCTTGATTGGATGGATAAAGAAATGGTTGCATTAGCTACACCAAAATTAATCGGTCCAAAACCTAATGCATTTGCATTTTCACATTGGCTTGCTGAAACAGTTTTATCAGGAGAACAAAATAGTTTACCACCAATATCAATTATTCGAGTTTCAATAATAGGTGCAGCATGGAAAGAACCATATCCTGGTTGGGTTGAAAAATCGAATGGACCAAGTGAATTATTTGCTGCTGCTGGTCGTGGTTATTTACGTTCGATGAAAGGTGATTCACATGATATACTTGATATTGTACCAGTTGATATACCTGTTAATTTATTAATTGCTGCATCGTGGGAAAAATGTTTTGAAGAAAAAAAACAAAATTTAACCATTTATCACTGTACATCAAGTGGTCTTAATCCATTTCATTGGCAAGAAATGAGTAATTATTTTATTGAATATTCAAAACGTATCCCATACGAACATGCATTTCGTCGCCCAAATTTATCTGTAACAAGTCATAGTTTAATACATGATTCATATGTATTTTTTTCACATCTTATTCCAGCCTATTTAGCTGATATTGGTTTACGTTTAATAGGACGAAAAGCACATGTTGTTAATTTATATAAAAATTTACATCGAATACTTCTTGGTCTTGAATCATTTATTATTCGTGGTGAAATTCAATGTTCATATGATAGTTTAAATTCTTTAAGACAATTAGTTAGTGAAACAAATAATATTAATGAATTTAATTTTGATATACGTGCTTTACATTGGCCAACATATATTGAATCATATTTAATTGGTACAAAACGTTATGTTTTAAATGAAGATATGAAATGTTTAAATGGTGCACAAAGACATTTAAATAATTTAAGAAATATACGTTGGGCATTTAATACAATTATTCTTGTTCTTTTATGGAGAATATTTATATCAAAACGACCCACAGCAAGAAATCTTTGGTATTTTGTCATAAATTTTTTTGTGGCAAAATTTGTTCGATTCTTTAAAATTCTTAGTGCAGGAAATACATAAGCAAAAAAACACTTAATCAAAAAAAATTTTATATAGGTCTATTTGAATGACATCATTCAATGCGATACGTATTCAGTACTTTTCTTTCTTCTGTTTATGCTTGTATTAGACCGGTTTATGTTGTATTTGTCTTCAGTTTTGCTCTTGTTATCGTTCGTCTGTGGCTTCACCATCAAAATAAAAAAAAAGAAAATTGTTCGACACAATAATAAACACATTATATGACAATTGAATGTTGTTTTGTAATTATAATTCAAGATTCGACAATAAAGATTTATATCAAAGTCTTTAAAATCATTGAGAAATCACTTGATCACATTATATTCCTTTCGAATGTATGGCGAAGTATTTTGAAAGATTAATCATAAATAGAGCGTTGTATCGAACTCAGCCGGAATCGAAGTGATTGTGAAGAATTTTTTTCACAGTTACTACTCAGTGGCACAACCAGAACACTAGCATCTTTCGCTACGTGCATCGTGTTATTAAGAATATACGATGATAATAGAGGTAGTGTTCCAACTCCATCACTACTTCACGACATTTTTTAATCGAACTATATCACTTTTTAAAAAAGCTCGAGGATCCTTGTGCCTACGAGAAACGACTCAACGACTACTTTTGCAGTTGCTTTGAAATTGATATAGCTTAATTTAAAAGAATGTGGTGGAGAGCCTGGCGACATATCATTTTCTTGAGAGCTTTGTTGCTCTATCATTCTGTATAATCAATGAACACTTTTATTTTAGGTTTCTGAGTGCAGAGAAGCTAGGTTTTGGATTTTCTAGAGATCCTAGATTTTAGAAATACTATAAGGATTTTATTTCATTCATATCTTTGTTGGAAACAATTTTCTCTACCTAAATCATGGTTGGAACTCTTGCGTGACAATTACCATGACGGAAAATAAGTCGAAATGAAATTTTCGGAGTCACTGTATGTTTTGGCATACAAGATTTTTGACTCTATTCATCTTGTCTATCTCACTAGAATATGATATTAATCATAAAAAAATATAATTCAAAGTCTATTAATAGCAATTTATTCATACTAGCGAGCGAATATATCCAACTGTCGAATACTGTTCGTCTTGGCATTATGCCTATGAATGGATCTCGGTAGGACTAAGAAAAACTCAAAAGGATTCAGACCCACAGCCTATATTTAAAGAGTTATAGCCGTTTTAATGAAACTTTTACGGACAGGAAGACATTTCCCAACAATTCAAAACCAAGATCTTGACTATAGGTACGTTTGATAGTCATGAAGATATTCAATATCCAAAGATCAGTAATTCACAAAAGGAGGACTTAGAAACTGAATACCTCGAGAAAGACTTGTTCGTTTTCATTGAAACTTTCATAACTATCAAACATGCCTATAGAGATAATCTTTGTTTTGACTTTTACGAACATATCTTGCTCTAAGTAAAACTTTCATTAAAACCATCATAAGTCTTCAATAATAAGCCATAGGTCCAAATTCTTTTAAGCTTTATTTAGTCTCATAGAAATCTATTCATAGCCATAATATGAACTCGATCGTTGTCCAACAACTTGATATGTTCTCGCTTAAGTCGTGCAACATATGAAAATCAATCATCATGTAGAATTAATTATCGAACACGAAAATACTACAACAGTCCATGTGCGTATTTAACTGAAATTAATTCAGTTATGTGACTTCTATTTTTACTATATCTAAGAAAAACCAATGATATGATATCCTAATGATTCGTTATTAAATAGTACCATTTATGGGTTTTAATTTAAAAAAAAACAAAAGAAATTGTTTCCATTGCTAGAAATCATCTGTGTATCTATGCTATAGGAAATGTGTTACTTGTCAGAGATGTTTGACAAGCTGTTTATGGTAACTTTTCCTAGTGGTAATCTTATATAGTTTTATTATAATCGAATGTAATTAGTATTGAATATTCAATTTTGAATCTTGATAAAAATTGAATTGTCGAAGAAATCATAGAAAGGCAATAATTTCATGTAAGAATAAACAAATGCTTGTGTTCATTAGAAAAAAAATTATTGACAAAAATCTTGATTAATCAAAACTGATGCAAATTCGTTTATTTCTATTTAAATAAAATAATAACTTTATAAGGTTTCTTTGAGAGAAGAAACAACAAGAATTCTATTGGCTTATTGTTATATTTTGATAAACAATAAGATTTCGATACCATAAAATCTATTGTTTTAGTTAAGTTTTAAATTCAGCATTTATCTTACTTTAAGAAAATTAAACAGGATTTAAAAATCTGAATAATAATTTTATTACAATGAAGACAACTATTCATGGATTATACCGATCTTATGTTATTCGAAACATGAGGCAGTATTTTTGTTATACTTTTTCATTTTCTTCGTCAAACATTTGAAATAAAAATATATTCTCTACGCAGCACAATGAAGTTGGACATGCCCTTTTTCTTTCAAGGTGAAAATTCCTATGTAGGACGAATTCTTATAAAAAAATGTTAATGTGTTGAGTTGACCTCTTATTATCCATCTTTTTTTTTGCTATCGATTCAACAATGTACCAATTCGACAAAATGGATATGAAATTTCGACAGTTTTTATTACTTAAATTGGATGATTTATCTGATGTTGATAAATGCCGATTACAATTTGTTCTTGGAAAACATATACCAAGACGTTTAAGAGAATCAAATAGTGTCGAAAATACGATTCGAATATTTGAATATTTAACTGATACTGGACAAATTGTTACTTGTCTTGTTGAAGCTTTATCAGCTTGTGGACGACCAGATTGATCAGAAAAATTAAAAAGTAAAATTAAATTTCGTTTTTTTTAAATAATTAATTCAATTTTAATTTTTTTGTTTTTCTAGATTTTGAAAAAACATCTTCTATATCAACAACTCATTCACACCCACAATCACATAGAGACATGACAATAACTCAATCAGTATTAGATGATATAACAGATGATGAAAAAGATTCGGGCTTTTCGTTTTTCAAAATTTCTACTAGAAGTCGTTGTCATTTTAATTCACCGCATTTTGTTACATTTCATTGTGATAAAACTATGTCAGAAAAAAGCAAATAGATGTCTTTCAAATTTTTGTAAAGAAAATTTGCTTTTTTTAATGAATAATAACGAAATCATAGAAGTATATCATCGGAACAATTAATACACTCAATTGAATGAAGTGTTCAGAAAAATAATGTTTATTTTTTTTTCTTTTATTGTTTCATACTATCATATGTCGTTTATTAGTTTCTCGCTTCGATGTTGAGTAATTGTTCGGATCCGATCCGAGTCGACCGATCATCAATTGAGAACAAGGAAACAAAGTAAGGAAAACAATAAGTTTATTTTTCCTTTTTTTTACGATTGTAATCGAAACAAAGAAGAAATTGTTTTCTATCAATGCATTAGAAAATGATTTGACAGCAATTTTCTCGAGAGTCTCCTATGACTTTGATGTCCGGTATGTATTGGTTGATGTAAAAAGAAGAAAGAAAAAAGAAATTTCTTCTTTTTTTCTCTAGTAAGACATTTAGAAACAAGTTAAGCCTTCATTTTCTTTTTTTCTCTCATATTAGTCGACATTTCATCGCAATCTTAAGTCCGATTGACATCGAAGATAATCATGTTGACCTGGTTCCTGCGTTTTCTCATGTTTATCATCGTTTTTATATCTATTGCTCATGCATATCCATCATCGATGAGCAATCGCCCATGGGTAAATTTCTTTTAAGTAATAGAAAAAATGTCGTTCTATGATTAAAGTTTTATTTAGTTACACGATCGTCTTGGACATTATCCTCATGGTATTTATGACATAGCACCGGATAGTGACGACAATGGTAATAGAATACAAACAATACGATTTATTTTTAAACGTTATTTTATTTTTTTTTTTATAGATCTGAATGACAATGATCGTATTCCAACATGGTTATTTCGTTCTCGTAAATTCTGTTGTGCACCACCATTGTAACTTTCTTTTCTTTATTTAAGAAAAAAAATAATTGAATAATTAAATTGAACGAATATTCGAAAAGAAAAAAAAAATAATTAGACCCTTATAAATATTGTATCTTTTTATATAACTGGATGAATTATTCTTGTGGAGGATGTTATATCTTCAAATTGACCATCAAGTCTATCATTTGTTGAATTATCAATTAATGTATTAACACCAGGATCAATAAGATCATCATCTTCATCATCATGTATTGTTGAATCGGCATATATTATGCGTGGAATAAGTACATTCGATCTAAAAATAAGAAAATTGATAGATAAAAGAGACACTAGAAGGACAACTACTTTAAAGCTCGTCGAAGAAATTGATAATAGACAAATGGAGCAAAACATATGTAAAATGTACATTTTGTACCATCAACAATACTGCAAAGAAAAAGAAAACTTATTTTGATTAATTTCCCTAGTCCTTAAAAGTACTCTTAGTCAGTGGTTTATACGCGTGAGGGTGGCACTGCTCTGAAAATTGAGTTGCCTCTCCTGGAGCTTGTGATTATTATACCACATACTATGTATCTGTGCTTTCAACAATAGATGTTCACGCCCTCCCAAAGTTTTATATGGTCCCTCCGGAAGAGAATATCTGAAAAAGAACACAGCTCTTAGTCCATTGCGATCAATTCGTGATTATTAGATTAGACAATAATATTAGTAGTGTTCGCGAGAATTATTCAATCAGCTTTTCTATGATAATTAAATGAGATTAATTGTTTTTTAAAGCTATCATGTATATATAATTCAATCGTGAGTATTACATGCATAGTCTACGATAGCAAAGTTATTAAGTCTTTTTTCTTTTCAATTATAAAGATTCTTCTCTTGTTTCTATTTTATATGCATGTTATCCAGGGACTTCAAACATATAAAAAAATTCCATTAAAATGATGAAACGAACATGACAATTAATGTATTTCAAATTGATTAATTAAGATGAACATTTTCATTAATTTAATTCCATTCACTTGATTAAAATATATATTTTAATTAAAAGTATTGAAATACATTAATTTTTGTTCATTTCATCATTCGTTATGTCATTCTTTTGTTCAAAAATTCATGAAACTTTTAATTTTTCATTATTATGAATATCAACTCGTGTGAAAACAAATTATATTTACGAACTATTGAGAAGAAAATTTACTCAATGTTTTATTTTCATAGTAAGTTTTTATGGTTATTATTTTTTAATAATTCTTTTTTCTATATACCCTTGAAAGTTTACTAATATTTTACGATCATTGAGTAAGCAATGATGCATACGAACAAAGAAAAAATAAACGATACTGTGTAATTTTCTTTCCAAAGTCTAATTGAATCAATTGCAAAAGGAGAATTTCCGTCATATATGCCTAGTGAAATAGTTTGAATTTCCGTTGTGTTTATTTATAATCAAGGTTTTTCAAGTTGTTAGAAAGCTTTAGACAATAGCAATATATCACAAACTTTCACTGGATTTTTATTAAGCTCGTCACCTTCAGAATCGATTTTCTATCAAGAATTGTCAAAATACATGAGATTTTCAATTTGATACCATGATGTTTTGATTGTATATTCATCAAACAAGAGTCTAAGATAGATCATCTGGGAACTAGAAATTTTCTGTAGACCTTTATTCTATATATTTTATTTTCCGGTTGTTTGATAGAGCATGTCAGCATGTAGAACCTGACATAAGCCTTTTTTGCTTTAATTCATACTTTTGTATTGAAGGTCAAAGATAACAAAAGACCTGTTTCAGGCTCTGCAGCCTCCCATACTGTTCCAAACAAAGTAGAAATAAAATATTAATTAAAAAACAAAGGCTTACAGAAAGTTGTAGGGTAGCGCAATTACTTACATTTAAGCCTTGTTTGATGAATATCCAGTGTTTTATCGAGGTCGCCAGGATGGAGTAAGGGAGAGGATATTTGGAAGATTTTTAGAAACTGTTGAGAAAAAAATGATGAAACACAGGAATATCATGCGAGAAAACGATGATTTTTCAAGGTTAGTTGAGGGACTAATATTCGTTCAGGACAGTTCGGCGAATATTTCATGAAAATATCATATTACCGAGCTGAAAATTGTATATGATTTGAATGTTCCTGATTTAGAATCAATTTTAAAGGAGAGAAAGATTTAAGTTATAACTATATCATTTATAAATAAGAAACCCACTGTCTTTCTATGTTTGAAAATGTCTAATCGCTAAATACAATGAGTTTCAGAAAATAATTTTTCATTTTAACATAAATCAACATGCTCTTGATTATTCAAATATAAATAAACTAACATACCACATGCTATATATTGTAGCTTCTGTTAAATTTAATATGGTACCAATGATTTGTATCATATTAATCAATGCCAAAACAAAACAATAGAAATAAAATGATCGACGAACTAAATAAAAATAATAAATCTTTTTCAAGAAATAAATAATTATTTAAGTTTTACTTGGTAAATATTTTTTATGTCGACGACATAAGCAAGGTAAAAAAAATAGAATTATATACATCTAATTGAAATAATAAAATTTAAGAAATATTTAAAAATATTTTTCAAATAAAATTACAGTAAGAAAAATAGAACTCGATATAAGCAAAAATTTCATGCCACCATATGAATAAAGATGATAATCACTTGTTTGAAATTTTATTGGTCGAGTATCACCACGAAATTCTAGTACAGCCTGTAAGAAGACAATTTAGTTTTTAAATCAATAAACGAAACAAATTTTACTTGTGTAGTTATATAAATTGATGCAAAAATAAACGAAATAATTAAGACTTTTAATGTTTTAATTGATGGACGATTTGAATTCGAACGTCCTAATGACAAAAATCGATAAGAAGTTACGTTTTAATTATTTCTAAAAATTTACCAAAACAAATACCAAAAAGAAGAACACTTAATTCTGTCCATAAGAGAAAAAATCGGATGCATAACCAAAGAATCTAAAAAAAAAAGAAGAGGAATATTTATCAAAACAAACTCAACGGAAATTCTTTTCTTCTCATTACTTTAACAATAATTTCTTGTCCATGGAATGCATTGTCAGGAAATATCATCACAAATAAACATCGGGATATATTGCTTAATGTAACAAAAAGAAGTAAACAAGTAACACTCAGTAATAATGGCTTATTTGTATTCAATTTAGTTCGTCTTCGAATCCATTTAATAATAATAAATAACAGAAAAATGAGATTTGGAATCAAAATTAATACATCGAAATATCGAATTCTAAGAAAAATTAAAAAAAATATAATGATTCGAAACTTGAAAGTTTAACATAGAAATCTAATTAAGAGCACAAACTACAAATACAGTATGTTCCAAACGTTCGAACCAAAAAAGAAGAATGTGCATAGCGCCTTAGTAATTCAAGGGATTTAAATACTTTTTTTTTAATAGTTTAATCACATATTCGTTAAAGCTTTATTCAGATAAAATATTTACGACTAAAAAGATTACTCATGATCAAATTCGAATAAATATTAGCAACAAATTTCAAAGATTTTGTGAAGCCAGTACGATCGAAAATTGATAATCGTACAGTAATTACTGAAGAAAAGATCGATGAAGTTAATGATGTATGTGAATAAGAGTCAGAATTAAGTGTTTAGTATATGCACGTCGTCTTCGTAGAACTATTGAACGAATTATACTTTGTTTGTCTTTGATAAGATATGCTCTGTCATAATCAGATTTGTGACAATAAGAAAGCTTGTGCAAGAGATCAAATATTTGATTTTGGCTCATTTCTTACAAGCATTT